GTGGCAGCTAGCCACATTCTAAAGAAATGACTCTTAGTCATTTCTTATTAGGTGGCATAATGTGTTAGTTAAACATTCACTCCATTCTAATATTTTCCATACTAAAGACTATACAATCAGAATGTTAGTCATTCTTACAATTAGAATGTTAGTCATTCTTACAACCAGAATGTTAGTCATTCTTACTATCAGAATGTTAATCATTCTTACAACCAGAACGTTAGCCATTTTTACAAGCTTTTAACAAAACATCTTTCAACCAAAATCCAACGAGAATTATTAGAAGCTTAACAATATAAAAATTTTGCGGTTCTAAAGGAGTAAGGTACAGCCTTTTCCAAGAATATCATACAGATTTTTTCCTACTCTAGGTATTAAGGCTATCCCTTCTTTCTTTTTGGCATGACCCAAATGATACTGAAAGCAACGAGCAAACGCACAGTTTCTATAAACGACTCTATTCATAGAAATATTAGGGGTGTCTATATTCTTGATTCCCCATGTGAATTATTATTAAATCTTCTGTTCATGGGTCTCAGAAAAATACGTATTTGATAAAATTTATCCGGCATGCATATTATTTTTATGATATTCAGTGAAAATCTTATTAACGTATTTCTTAAGGCATATTATTTTTATGACATTCCGAGAAAATATTATTAACGTATTTCTTATGCATTTCATACATTTATACATATACATTAACCCATGACCAGATGGCGTTATATACGTGTATATATGTATATTATATATATATGGGATATGGGAAAAAGTTATGGCGTTATATATGCACCACCACCTTATCAGCTGGTATACGTTGATGATTTGCCCACAGTGGCCGAAATGATATGATGCGATGCCCTCAGAGGCTTGATGATGTTATGAACGCATATACCAATGCATGGTATGACATTTATACGCATATGCATGGCATTATAAAAATGAAATGATTCACAGAGCTATGCAGACGTACATGTCGAGTCTTTTACTCCATGTTTCTCTCATGTCTATTATTTACTGATTTTCATTCCTTACATACTAGGTATATTATTTGTACAGACGTCCCTTTTGCCTGGGGACGCTGCGTTTCATGCCCGCATGTCTCGATAGACAGGTCGAGAGTCCTCCAAATAGGCAATCAGCTCAGCGGAAGATGTTGGTACACTCTATTTGTTCCGGAGTTGCTTGTGTGGTCAGTATGATTAGGACATGTACTGATTAGTATGGCGGAGCCTTGTCCCGACCTTTATGATATTTATGTACTCTTAGAGGCTTGTAGACATATGTCGTGTACGTGAAAGATTGTACGGCCGTGTCGGCCTATGTTTTGAGTTTATAAATGACGATGTTGGCCTATTAGGCCCGTATATCATGTATATGATGATGTAATAAGAAAGATACGTTACGTTGGTACTCGGTTGAGTAAGGTACCCGGTGCCCGTCGCGGCCCATCGGTTTGGGTCGTGACAGTATGGCACCAATTCCTTGGAAGAGGATCGAGTCTACACCGATGAACTTAACATGTTGTCTGCACACAGATAAGAGGAGCGTAAAAAAAGAAAATAAAATAAAATTGCTCCTGAATTAGCACCGAAAATTAATTCAAACACTATTAATCGCCAATCCCCGGCAACGGCGCCAAAATTTGACGAGCGCAAAACCGGTGTATAAAACTTAGGCTTGCTAGTCAAAGATAGTATAGTATTAAATCGTCTACACAGGGATTGGGTTAAATAATGTTCTAATAAATCTTCAGCTCAACACTATCCAGGATAATAAATCTTTGATTTATATAATTATCGACTACTAATAAAACTAAGATTATTGATTGTAAGAAACTAATGGAAATCTAACGACTAAGTAGCAACAATTGAATATCAAGGTAAGAAGTAAGGGTTATGACAAGATATGTGATCAACTATTATTCAAGGTAACTCTGTGTTAAGCTCACTCTTAACTTCTATTGCCTCCTTCGATTTCAACAGATGATTAGGCCACCTTAGGGATTCAAATTCTTCTTCCGAATGAATGAGAGTGCCCTTAATCAATCTAATAACATGTCCTATAAACATATGCACAAATACAGTGAATGGGTGATCTTTCGAAGAACGCCTCTCGACTATTCTTCTAAACTGGGTTAATTGATAACTCTCTAAGCTCTTTTGATTACCTATAAGAGGCGTAAACTCAATCCAAACAATATGGCACAATGCAAATTACAGCAACACTTCTCTTTCAATTAAAGTAAAACCACAATTAGCCTTGCAATTCAATTAATAACTCATTCAATGAATTTAGACAACTAACAGAGAGTAAAACCCAAAACAATAGTTAAATCGTGACATCCGTCAATAACCCTAAGAAAGATTACTCCATAGTGGAGAAGTTATTCATCACAAGAGTATTAGAAGAATAAGAAGCCATTACAATTCCCAAAATTAAACAAACTTCCGTATTGAATGAATCGGATCAAGTCTTTTGCGTCTCCGTTGCTTCCTTCCTTCTTCTCTCCCAAAAGTTCCTCTCAAAATCCCCCATACCCTTTTTTAGACGAGCTGGACTTCATATAGGTCAAAACGAGTCGCCTCCAAAATTATAAAAATTGGCTTGGAAAAAGTTTCTGGAACTGAACGTGCGTGGCCGCGCACCTGGGCCTATGACCGTGCATGGCCATGTACTGCTTCATTTGCGCGCTCAAGTGCCCGCTCAAGTGCGCGTTGGAGGGGTCTCATGCGCGACCGCGCACCTAGGTGAGCCTCCTGCTCGCTCTTCGTTTCTCCCGTTAAGTGCACTATTGCCCGTTGATCCCGAACATGATCCCAACTTAATCATTGGATTTTTACTCAGAGTTCAAATCTCCAAAATAGCTCGAATTAGCTCCACAACCTCATCGTAACTCGGAATCGCTCCTACAAAGCAAAAAACACACACTCAGTACAAAATAATACCATTTAAACCTCAAACACTAGTAAAGTGCAGCGAATTAGAGTCAATTAATGACCAAAATACACAATTATAGTCTACCATCACCCTACATGAACACGGGATGCTCCGTGTATCGAGCTGCCCTTTGACTCACATATGACCCCGAAAAAAAAATGACATAAAGTTGTGCATCTCCTAAGATGATGCGCAGAGTAAATAATCATTGGGATGGCTAAATGCTGGTGCTGAAGCTGATTTTGATCTTGTTGGGATGAATCAATTTGTGTTATTTGATATAGCGTTGGAGTATCTTCAACAAACATATTAGACAATGTCCCAAATATACAACATATAGCTCCGAAAGAAGCTTGTGATTGTTGTTTCATAGGATGTCTGAGATGTTCCGTGTTGAAAAGGTATACCACGAGGCGAGACAGGAAAAAAGTTTGTAAGTTGTCTAAGTCTTTCGTCTTCAATTGTTGCCGAATAGAATCTCATATTACAATCACTAGTCATTGGCCCTTAATCATAGACTTTTTTTATTTTAAACTGCTCATTCATTTGACATGTCAACAACGAATGAAAATATTTACGATACATTTCTAATAAGAGATGTCAAGTATATGATGGAATTAATCGAGTAAAAACTGACCAAAATATCACGATTATTAAAAAAATTATTTACGACATGTTTCTAATACCTTAAAATGTTTAAGAAATCATTATTAAAATACGAATATCGAAAATGAAAAGTCATACGTACTAAAGTTTTAAGGGGCCATCAATATATATGATTTTTTTTATTTTTACTTTTTTGGATAAAAAGAATGGGAGTCTTAGGGCAACAGTAAAGTTGTCAGTGTGTAATCTATAGGTCAAGAGTTCAAGTCATGCATAATTTTTTTCTGATCCTATATGAATGCGGAATATTTCGTACATCGGTTGGTTGCTTTTTTTTTTTTTTTTTCTGATAAAAAGGTGAAGTTGTAATTGATGTTGAGATTTGAGATGAAAAAAAAAGGGAATGGAATGATAGGCGTGGACAAAGAGGAAACACACACTTGGCAGAAGTTTGGTAGTGGTAGAAAGAGTAGGTTCGTGGCCTTCAAACTTGCCAATGAAACAATATTAACATGTGTTGCTCTCTGGTTAAGTCATTAGTGTTTTTCCATGTTACTCTCTATTTCATTTTAGTACTGACCCTACCCATATTTTATGCTATAAGCCAGCTGAGTCATGACTGCTGTCACCAGTCAGCCGGACATCAGCACAAGCATAACAAATAAAAAAAATCGAACTTAAACTATTTTAACAGTGTAAGATTTTGGACATATAAATATTAATATGAGGATGAAAGAAAATGACCGATAAAATCAATTCTCTTGTATTCGGACATAAAATTTTAAGATTTTGGTACTGAGATTATTTTGTTGTGTACATTTGCTCATGCCGAATTACAATACATATGGATTTCTGTACTTGAGCAGATATTTCTGTGCCAGTGCCAGCCTGCCCATATGTATCTCCATTGATGATTGGCTGAGGCTGGCAGTCAACTTGTATATACTATAGATATTTTTGAAAATCTTAAAAAAAGAAAGATATTTCTGCTCATACCAAATCCCAAATACCATAATTTGACTTTGTAAAAAAGCGACCCTTTTTCATTTCTCTCTTAGGAAAAGAAAGAATAGAAAGACTTATGATAAATCATAAACATTGTACGTATATTATGGAGGATAGAATTTCAATTAATTTAGTTGTAGTAGAATATCGTAGAAACATAATTAATTCACAGCTTGTAAAATTTGGAAAACATGACTTTTTGAGTTAATATAAATATTAATTGTACATGATATTTGCAGTAAGGTTGAGCTGATTTTCGTTGCATAAATGCTAGGCCATTGGCTTAAATGTTTATGCATATCAATAATTCTCTCAAATTAGGTAGAGATATTTCCCGCAAGTTGAAAATAAAATATACTAAAAATAAGCTGATACGAGGCGGCTTGAAAATAGTTTAGCTAAAAAGGCAGAAAAAAATCAAAGAAAGCTCAGCTGGAAGCCTCGAAGCCTGGACCAAGATGCTCTCTCTCTCTCTCTCTCTCTCTCTCTCTCTCAATCATTTTTTTGGTCTTTGCTTCAACGCCTCCCTGTTCACTAATACGATGGCTATAAATACCCTTTTTTATGTGTCAAATAATTTTCAAAGTAACAATTTAAAGAGAAAAAATTCCAAGTATCCAACAATTCTCACGAGTAACGATTGACCATTTCACACTTCTACTTCTATGTGACGTTCTAGCAGTGGAGCTCTGAATTTTCCTTCAGTTTCAACCTTACTGCTTTAGGTGAGTTCATATTTAAGTTTACTTATTGAGTAATTTTGTAAATATTCTGTTTAAGAACTGTATAAAAGTAGCAGAAATCATTGAGTAATTTTTGTAAATATTTTGAATTATTTTGAAGTGTTAGAACTACTATTATGAATCAATTCCAAAGTGAACACGTTGCTATGTATTCTGTATTGCGAAGATTTATCCTAATTTTACATTGGTTGTCAACTTACTGTAATCCTCCTCTTTTATCTGCGTGTGAGGCCCGCAAGATGAGCAAGTTTACACTGGTGGAGTTAATAAGTTTGAGGTGTTGAAATGAATAAATACCTTTGGATTTACCAAATAGTACAAGTGCCATTCCTTTTGCATACTTTTTTAGTCTTCAATCTAGGTGATACTTAATTGGTAGTAATGTGCATATTGCAGTTGTTTGCATTCTTCATTTTTTTATGTGATAGGTATCCTGGAATTTTCAATTGTTTGTTGATATAGATGCTATCTCTGAATATGAGGTTGTATTTTTCTCGTTGCATTTAGCCCGTAAATAACTCTTTCTTGCCATTTGTCATATGAGGATCAACATCATGTTTCTTTCTTTTTGATCTGGGCTGCATGTTTTCATTGAATATGTGTGTTCAACAATTGCTTGGAATTTTAAGGAGATGTGACTTCTCTTTATTTACCTTTTTGCTGCATTACAAGTGGTCTTGAATAGAGTGGAATAGTTACAGAGGATTCATATAATTGATCCCAATATTGTTTAGGATCAGTTGTTCTGTAGCCTTCAACTCAATTAACTCTTTGAGTGTCCTTTCCGAGTTTCCGTCTTTATTATCCACATAGAAATGGTTAAAGTAGTTCATCTCTTAAAATGGGCCAGGAAACTTGTGGCATTCTAGCATTAAGGCCTCAAAGTCAACTTGACCCCAACTCTGGCTCTGGTGTGGTTGCATTTTCCACAAGGAGAAGTTGCTCACCTTTTCCAATAGCTTATTTTGCAAGTGAAACTTCATCTTCGGATTGTTATACTAAGCTTGAAGCTACATTTTGGAATCCTCCGAATTTGGAAAAACTCGTTGAGGCAGAGTGATACATTCTTGCAAAATGTACCCTCTACAAGCAGCAAACATCTCCCAGATTTCGGTGGAGAACAGTTCTGCAGAGTACCAGGTCATTCTGGTGTTGGATTGTTCGCGAGTGAATGTAGTCCTCCCCAGGTAACCAAATCAAAAGACTTAAGTTGTACCATTTACAAAAACTATCATATTCTATGCACGATGTAGAGACAATGAGAATAGGCACTCCTTTGGACTCTGTAACGGAATTGACTGGATATTATCTCTGCATTTCTCAGACAACCTACATTTATTTAATCATGAGCTGGACGGATGCTAATCATTTTGAAGAAAGAGAAGTCATTGGTAAATCAAGGATATGGAGTGAATTTAATGGAAAAAGCATCATTAATTGATCATGACAGCCAATCTCTACCTTTTGGTAATAACCAAAAGAAAAACCGAAGATACAATCAGCTGGAAAGTTCCGCAGGTAGTGAAGCAAAAGATAAATACTGAAGACAGTAAGCCTTCTGAAGTAATGTTGAAGAATGAATTGTTCAGCTGAAATTGATACCATGAAACGGGATGTATTTTAGGAAAAGAACCATTTTTGGGGTATGTACTGGTCTGAACTATGTCTAAAAGGTCTTGATTAAAGCACTTTACTAACATAAAACTGGTCAAAAATCTTCTTTAAAATTTGTTATGGTCATGGTCTCCTAAAATCTAACCTACCAAGCGGGGAAAAAAAATGAAAGATCTTTCTAAGCTTTATTCTCATATATATTGTTGCTACACTGACTTTGACTTGTTTAACTAATGTGCCTTTCTTATGACTTCTGCAGGTATGTCTTCTTCCCCATTAAAGCGGGTATTCTCACTGTCCCTTTAACATTCTAATTTGTACTTTAGGTTGATGGTCAATGTAAAAATAGTCATATTATGATATCAAGTTATCTTCAGTTTATTATCAATAGGAACTCCAGATTCGTCCAATCTACCTGATAAATACCAAGTATATATGGGAAATGAGTTTTAAAAGTTGGCTGCAGTTATTGTATGATAAGCTAAACCATATAACATTTTGAGGAAACTGAGTTGTTCTAGCTGGTATTCTCACTCTTATCCTTGTACAATGTGAGAAAAACTGGCATATCATCTGTGATCTTCTTATTTGTAACTCCAAATGTTTCTACAAAACAGTACTCTTGGAAATGATACTGTTGGTTTCACGTTTGACCTATTGAGTAGATTAAGAGCTCAAGCAATAATAACTCCGTTTCGATTTTGACCATATGATATCTTGCAGGAGAGTGAAATGGACGAAAATGCACCTACTCATCTTGCACTTGGCTGTCCCAGAAAAGAAATTGGATGTAAAAACGTTATACCTGACATGAACTTGGAGCCTCCTGCTCCGATTGATAATTTGGAGCCAACTTCTTCCAGAACTCGAAGTCTGGATTTGAGATCACTCCTTGGCCATAATGAGCAGGCAAGTTCATTGAAAGCCGATTTCTCCCCTGTCGTTCTGCTTGAACAGGAACCAGGTGGAAGATGGGTCAAGCGCCTCAAAATGAGTGCTTCTGGCTCATTTTCTGTTGGAACAAAGAACTCTAACCTTTCAGGGAATACATCTCATGAGAAAGCAAACAAGTTTCTAAGCAAAATTGCTAAAGTTACTATAACCGGCTCAGAACTCACAGCTGGTAAACTTCATGGTGAAGAATTGATGGCTCGTGAAGGACCTCCAGCCTTAGCAAGGAATAGTGCCTCTTCATCTAAAAATGTTATGAAGAAAGATCTAGAGTTATTGACTTCACAGTCTTGGATGCGAAGGTGGCTTCATAATAGGGTTCCCACTGCACAAAAGAGGCCTCAACCAGTGGTGGTTAGTACGCCTCGAGGCTCAAAGTTGGAAGTTGATGATTTTCAGAAGAAGCAGTTCCCAAGCATTGCTGCCATGGCCCTCATGGGAAAGGCATTAACTGGTTTTCAACCATGTGAATTCCAAAAAAGAGGTCCCTATGTAGTTTGGAGGAACACAGGAGTTTCTGAACCTACATAGCAGCAAGAGTTACTGTGCTTCAGGTTAGTCCACCGACGGTGCTGATGGCAGTGTTGGTCAGGCTATGCATAATGAGGACAAATGTGCTCTGGCTTAATATGTGATCATGCAATCAACTGCATTTTGGAGCTTAGTGTCGATTTGTTGGTGCTAGTAAGTACATAGCTTGTCTTAGATTTGGCTTCTAGTGTTTGCTTAGATGGGATTATCTCTGTATTTAACCAGTATGATAAAAATGCCAGACACCTTGTTTCTTGAACAGGCCATTCATCCGGCTGCTTTAGTCAGTGTGCGAGGGATCTCGATGATGTGGCAATTACGTGCTAAAGTAGGCGATGAGATCACTATGCAATGTTCGTCGTAGAGTCTAAGATCAGTTCATTGGACAGTTTGAACCATCCCACCTTTACTTTGTTGAAGACTCTTGAGTGAGTGACTACCTGCTCCACTCGTCAGCTGGTAGAAAGTTTTTCCTGGATCGAAAATTAACCAATAAGCAGCAAAATTTGGTTTACTAGATTAAAAGTTGCTCATCTTTTATCCCATCTTTTAGTGTCAGCTGCATGCTGATTTTAATGATTGCTTTAAATAGTTGTTTGTAATTGCTCATGAAAAGGCATCATTTTCATTATCATCTCCAGAGTTGTCAGTCGCTTATATTTCCTGGATGTGGAATAATCCACTGTAAGCAAAGCTGTCGCTTCTTAAACCTTACAATTAGCAGACAGAGGATCAACATCAACGTAGAACTGATCAAATACTAAACCAGATCACTCCTTCCAGGAGCATGCTGGCTCCTTGAAAAGACAGTTAGCCCGAGGCGTCCCACATCACCTTTCATCTTTCAAAAGGATTAATGTTGTTAAAGTAATGACTGGACAGAAGCCATTACTTTTGCTTAACTTAGTCACATTCCTTTGGGTAAAAAAGAGAAATCATTTGGAATTCCAGAGATAGTTAAGGAAATAAAACTCAATGTCAAACTGAACGATATGTAGAAGAGATAAATTACTCCAATAAATAGACAACTAACAAACATAGTCAAAACAGTTACTATCAAAGCGACTGCTCAAAGTAGCCGTAGCCCATACTAAGACATGATATTTTCCAAATTAAGCTTAGAGAATGTCTAAAATAAGCAGGCCCTGCAAGAGCTCTATAAGCAAATGAACTAAACATTTCTTAAGTGTTGGTTGCCCGGGTGTAGATCTGCTGGCTAGCATGAGCAGACACCATCCTGATCGAGCCTCTTGCCATCAAATCTCTTATTGCCTTCCTAGCAAGTGATCCACTAATCTGCACATTCAATCAAATGAACAGATTAGCAATATTACACTGACATATTGGCCTACAAACATATACACTGAATCATAGTTTGCTGCCAATTACAACCAAGTACTAAAAACATCAAGCCACAAGACAATTTTAGGATCAAAACTCATGATTATGAAATGCATGAGCATACAAAGTAAATCACCAAGTACAATGCAGCAAACTACATTCAACAACAAGAACGCACTATCATAAAAAATTCATCATTCTACATGGCATATGCTTTGATCATATGGCCAAGCAGAAACAGAAAACGGCCACCACCATGGCACACAACGCGACTAAGCCCTCCAAGACATGGGTAAAAGGACTCACAAAGACTTACATATCTTGGAAACCAATAACACAAGGAAAATGCTTGATTAGAGACAGGTGATACTGATGGAAAAACTTCATGATATTAATTGAAACCCCAGAAGCCAGGCAGTAGAAACACACAAATAATAGGCCATGAACTAGATCGGAATCATTCTCAACGAGTACATAAGAAGTGATCCCATTTTTTTCATCAGGCCAGGAAAAAGACCAACGATCAAAAGATAAAGAAGCATAGTCGATCCCCTCATGCTCGTTGATAGGCATGTCGTTAATAAAAAAATTGCATAACTAATTGGACACCTCTGCCCGGCAGGCAATTTCAGTGCTACAAAACTTTCTCTAATCACTGCTATGCCAGAAATAGGGAATCCTTAGAAAACTGAAATGCAAGTTGCATGAGAGTTCCTTCCCCCACAAATGAGAAGATAAACATCAAAGCAATGAAAAAACCCAAACATCTGAATTATCATGTTATTTGTGAGCATCAAAAAACGAACTTTGAGTTTACAATTTCTAAGACTCTCTGGTGATCCAAGGAAGACTTAAGACAAGCTGTCCATTAGGTAATTGTGCTTATTTTAACCACTCTACTACTAAAAACTCGTAATAGTTCACAGTCATATGATATATCATCTTTTTAAGCTAACAGAACAAGCTCGACTAACCACCTTTTGCATCCACGGTATCTTCAAATATAACAGTATCATTATCAAAGCAATAAACTCTATATACATCTCTTAAAGAGAACCAGTATTAAGGTGCAAATCAAGTTTATGATGCCTAAAATCAAGTTGACTGTTAACGCAGATCCCACAAAATAGTAAGTTTATTGCAATAGACATAGGACGATAGATCTAATGCAGAATAAACAAGATTCAAAAAGTAAGAAAGAAATCACCAGATTAAATTTAAAATTTAAAAAGGAAACATACCCTGAGACGGTCGGAGAGGACAGAAGGAGTGATAAGCTTGTATTTAGGTGCTTCAGACAGAAGCTTATCGTACGTAGCCTTGTCGAACAATACCATGTTGTTCACCTTTTCCTTTTGCTTTCCCTTGCTCCACTTCTGCAAAATCCACAAATACAAATTTACATAAGTTACCTTCAAAATTAACCGCACATCAAAATAAAATAGTAAAAAACAAAAAGTAGGTGACCTTCTTCTTCTGCTTGCCACCACCGGACTTTGCAGGCTTTGAAGATGGAGGTGGAGCTGCCTTCTTTGGAGCCTACAAAAGAAAGGGAAAAAAACAAAATTCAGAAATTGAAATAAAGTGAAGTATAGCTAACGAAATTGGAGATGACTATTCGGAGGCGGAGGTCATACCATTGATCAGAGAGCGGCGGAGTTTTGAGGTAGAAATGAGAAGAGTTGTAAAGAAGGATATAGCGATATAAAAACCTAAATGGGATTTCTAGGGTTTATATTTGCCTCAAAATCGTAAAGCCCATCATCAGATATGGAGAAGGTCAGATAACTGGGCTTCCTAATGGGCCGTGTAGCCCAATCTACATGTTGCTGTGCCCTGAACTTTACAAAAAATTATTTTGGATGGACCTTTTTAAAATTACTATTTATATTTTGACCGCATTAATAAATTTTTTGAGAAAATACCTCACTTTAAAATTTTAAAGCACGCTTATCAAAATTTGAAGCACCTAGAATCCTGATGATCACTAGAATTTTCAGCCACAAAATTCTGGTGGTCGAGCAGAATTTGTGGCAAATGATGATCACCATAAGCATATTATGGTATCTAAGATTTTTTTTATGGTATCACAAAACCCGACGATGTGGGCATACTTCCAAAATATGACGCAGAGGCTTATTCCCCAAAGGCTTTTCTTAACGAGATCAAAATCTATACGGTGGCACCGAAAGATATTATTTGTGCTAATCATCCAGATTTTATTATTAAATTCGATGTATGTATTTTAAAAATACAAAAAAATACTACAATACTATAAATTATAATTTCTATGTTTAGCAATATTTAAAGTTTTCTGAAAACATATTTGTCACATAATAATTATTTTATCCCTCAAGAAATAGTAGTGGTATTCTTTTTAAGACGAATGGAGCCCAAATTATAGAGAATGGACGAGACGGGAAATTCTAAGTTTTTTTTTTTTTTTTTTTTTTTTTTTTTTTTTTTTGGGTGCGAATTCTAAGTTGATAAATGTTGTCTGATCCAATTTGTGAAATTGGTACCTTATTTCATGAAATATTTTTCAGTAATTTGTGACCATAAGTATAGTTAACTAAATGTAAGTTTGAAAATTCTATTTCCTTTGATTTGACCGAGATTTTACTCACTCAAAACTCACTTGGAATTTCAGCTAGCACAGTTCATGTAATTAAAAATAAAGCAATTCAAGCTCAAAAGAGTTATTTCTAGGGGAGAAGCCAAGACACTATTGAAATTCAAATTCATGGCATATCAATTAGAGTTGTGACATTAAGGAACGGTTGATATTTGAGCAAAAAAAAAGTATTTAAAATTGGAGTTGATGTTTGAAAGAAAAAATAGTAATTGATTGGACATGAATTTCATTTGAAATAAAAAATAGTTGAAATGCGATACTTTATGTCACACCCCTTTTTTTAGCCCTAAAAAATATATATGTTATGGGTTGTCGTGGGTTAAAGAATTTTTGTAATTAAAGTGACATTTTTGAACACTTGGAATTGATTTTTGGGTGTTCCAAGTCACCTTTTATTTGAATCCCTATTCAAAGGAAGATTTGACTCTTTTCATGTTGGTCTACGTAAATAAAGTCCGTGTAAGAAATTCTGTTGACCGGGAAGAAGGTGTAAGGCATTCTTCGAGTCCCGTGGTTCTAGCACGGTCACTTTTATTGACTAAAATTGGCTTGAATTAATTTTGGACAAACTGTCCTTTATTTGATTTCCATATTTTACCTATCCGCTTTTATTTCTCGATTAAGAATTATTGAATAATGATTTGGATAATATTACATTGTCATAACCACGCTACGCAAGCGAATGCGTGATCAAAAACAAATTAATTAACTTATCATAATCGCGCCTTACAAGCGAATCCGAAATCATGACAATCAATTATTTGTAATATATTTGAGAAATTACTACATTCGTGCTTGAGGGAATTAATTTTGAAATTTATAAAATATCACTATCGCGCTATGCAAGCGAATCTGCGATTATGGGGATTAATGAAATTAGGACTATTTAAAGCTATTGGATATGATACAAGATTATTGAATGTTAAACATCACGTTACTCAAACGAGTTCGTGAATGAAGGATTTAAAGCGCACCTACTAGTTGCTTAGCGCTTAAATTAATTATTGAAAATTAATTATTAGAAGCGATTAAGTTATTAAATTATTTATTTGAGAGGCAAGAATATGATATTAAATTTTAGTTCACTAACATATAACAATTAAACTTGGGCTAGCATTTAAAATGCATCTAATTATCTAAACTCTAAAGTTAATTATTTATATTACAACCTTTATTATGGAACAAAAGTGGCCAGCTACTTTATTACATTGGGCATGATAATTGCCTTTCTGTTTAAATCATAAAATTTCACGGCCCATTTTCTCATGTCAAGTCTATATCAATCATCAACCAAGCCTTTCCATTCGGTCAGCACATGGATAATATTATACTAAACTTAAAAACAGAATCACTCCAATCTAACTCAAATATAAATTAATAACTCACAAACAAAAATACTAAACAAACAAACAAATAGATAATTTGTCTTTTGATATTTTATCGCTTACTAAAATCTCATCAAATAAACTAACTAGTATTACGAAGAACTAATCTAACAAAAGACGAAACATCACTAATTCAAATGCAAATTGAACGAGTTCCATTCAAATAGAAAATGTATACTAAAAAATTAAAATAAAATCTTGCATTAACTAATTAAAAAAAAAAAAATGCATAAGCACCCCCTAACCTATAACCGAATTTTTAACTACACACTC